AATATACTTATTTAATATATTTAATATTATTATTTATTTAATATATTATTATTTTAAATATTGTTACATGTTTTCAGAAATTAAACCACCAAACACAATTTCAGTTTTTTTAAAACTGAAAACAATTTCAGAATAAAACTACCAAACGTATTTTCAGAAATGATTTCAAAATGAAAATAAAAACGTTTTCATTTTCATTTTCGTACAGAAAACAAAAACGTTTTGAAACCAATTCCAAACGCACCCCTTGAATCGCAGTATCCCAACCCCCAATAATCCCATTATTTAAAATAATTGATAATAAAAGTTTGTTTATTTATTTATTTATTTATTTTCGCTCTGCTAAGCCTGCTATTTTATACCCTGCATTGTAAACTTATAAAAAAATGTAATTATATTCTTATTGAACTGTAATTGTAATCTTAATAATTGAAATATATATAAAAAATTCTGGCTCCGCCATTAATTAGTCACAATATTAGATCGCATGATACTACGGCCATTGCCTTTATTTCGAGTGTTTTCCATGGATGTATTCTCTCTCTCTCTCTCTCTCTCTCCCTCTCTCCCTCTCTCTCTCTCTTCCAAAGGGAGTGAGGAGTGAGGAGTGAGGAGTGTGAGTGTGAAGTAGGTGAAACTCTAACTCCATTGACATTAACTCCCAATGTGAGACTTATCAACTAAAACGAGACTAGAGAGATCTGAGAGTTTTGGGCGGTAGGCAACACGGTTGATCGGCACGTGGTGGCAGATGACTTCCTTAGACAGGGAGTTTGGCGCAAGGGCAACGATCTTGCATTAGTTTTGTGTGTGTGTGTGTATGAGAGAGAGAGAGAGAGAGAACGGGGCTAAGGGTTTTGGTCACATGCATGAAATGATATTGCATTAGTTTTGTGTGTGTGTGATAGAGAGACAGTGAGACAGAGAGAACAAGGCTGAGGATTTTGGTCACATGAGCGAAATTTGAGTTAATGTGGAAGCTTCTAAACTTCTAATCTAGTCCCCCAAAAGATTTCCAAGCTAGCTAGATTACAACTCAATAAAAGTTTATATACATTTACAACTTTGGCTCAAACTAATGGTGTTGTTTGCATTCAAATACCAAGCTAATTTTTCAATTTAGTACTAGTTGGGCTGGTTTGGGGGGACCATGGCTTAAAAATTGTGATCTTTTGTTAAAGATTAACCTCACTTCCAAACGCTTGGACGGCCGTGTTGACACAACGAATGTTTAAAGTAGCTGGTTTATATAGTGCTTTAATCATAGGAGTTACAGCCTCCAGGATTCTTCTCAACTGTAGGAGTCATATAGCCCGTTTGAAAAGTGAAATTCAAATTTTACTAGAGAAAATACTATTTGAATTCAAACCCGAGTGGTTTGAACCCATCCTTTAAACATACCCATAAATTTGGGTGTGAATTCTTTTTGAACCATGAATCTTGCTTCTTGTAGTAATATCACTAGTATTGTTTTAAGAGTGACTGACTTAAAAATTATTCTTTTTGAACCATGATTCTCTAGAAATTCAAATTTTACTACAGTAAAAAGCTCTAACATAAAGTCATATATCAACTTGAATTAAAAATTCGAATCAGCAAACCAAACGGGCCCTAAATTATTCTAGAGAATCTTTTGAAAACTCGATATCAACAAGAATTCTATAAGAGTGACTGACTTTCCCTGATGGAGTCGCTTAATATATTTATTACATGTGTGCCAATACAATATGCAATATTAGATTAGCTATGTGTGTCAGAATGGCCATGAATTAGAGTGAGCAGATTTCAAAGTGGGTAGGATTCAGAGTGAGGAATCAAAGTCATAAGGAGTTATTTACTTAGTGACAGGATTCAGAATCAGTCACTCTAAATCTCGTTCATGCGTTTACTTACACCCAGAATCTAAATGAACTAATGTAAAAGTACTAATATACCATTTAAGTACTTAAAGAGTATATTAGTACTTTCCAATTTAAACCGTTAAATAAATCATCAACTTAAAATACCTGTACTGCCTGGGAAGCTAAAATGAAAGGTCCATTCTCATACCACGAGTCCTTAACAAAGATACTTATTATATTCTTGTATTGTTGAATTCTTCTTTTTTCTACCCGAGTGTCGAACCACTTACACATGAAAAGGAAGACTGAGTTGTTTATGTATAGCAATTCAATAATCTCTTCCAAGACTCCGTAGAAAACTTGATTATCTGACCCGCGGATACAAATGTCACTATTCATCAACATGGTCTTTGGCAATGTTGATAAAAGCAAATATCACTTCCCAATACTGATCAAACAACCGGTTTTTCATATGTATCCAACCCTTGTCTATTGGCATCTTAACTATAAAAACAATAACACATTCAATCATAATTCATGTTTTTTTGGAGACTATATAGTCACGTTCACTAAGAAAGTTTTATAGTTCATGTTTCAACTTTATAAATTTTATCAATTTTTATGAATAATTTTTAGTTTACTTTCTATTAATTTAATTAAATCTTATTAATGAAATTCTCAAAATTAATAGATTTTAATAAAATTTCGGCAGCATAACGACTTATTTTCTTATTATTCAAAAATTTAAACCTACAAAAAAATAACTTTTAAAAGATTTCGACACACCATAACTTTTATATTGTATACCCTGCATTGTAAACTTATAAAAAAATGTAATTGTAGTCTTATTTAATAATTGAAATATATATAAAAAATTATGGCTCCGCCATTAATTAGTCACAATATTAGATCGCATGATACTATGGCCATTGCCTTTATTTCGAGTTATGACCATGGATCCATTCTCTCTCTCTCTCTCTCTTTTCCAAAGGGAGTGAGGAGTGAGGAGTGTGAGTGTGAAGTAGGTGAAACTCTAACTCCATTGACATTAACTCCCAAGGTGTCAGCATGGCGTTGGATTGATGATATCAAAACAGCAGCATATGCACCGAGCAATTATATATTAAGCTTTAGAACCCCCTGCGAGGGAAAATTACACAGATCCCTAGGAAATGCAGCTGGGTGGTTTAAACCAAGGAAAGCGTCTCTCCTCTCTCTCTCTCTCTCTCTCTCTCTCTCTCTCTCTACTCTCTCTCTCTCTCTCTTGCATTTGTTGCCTGACACTTGAGGTTATTCACTGCTTCTTCTTCATCAGTGAGATTATTACTACGCCATGCAAATATCCCAATAACACCTCAAACTTTTTGCTTTGGAAACTGTACTAACTCTCCAATTCACTCACCACTGTCACTGCTTCTCTCTCTCTCTCTCTCTCTCTCTCTCTCTCTCTCTCTCTCTCTCTCCTTCCCAGCTCCTTTATGATCTCTGTCTCGAAAAACCCACCAGAAAGATCCATATTAACCCTATATATCTCTATATCCAGATTTAATCCGAGTAATCCCATCATTTTAACTTCCGTACCAGCTAAGTACTTCAGACTTTCAGAGTTCAGATATATATATATATACGTGGCTCTAAATGAATGAGTCTTCGATTTGGCAAATGGCAGTTGTCTTAACCAAAAATGAGGTGCAAGAAGACAAAGGAAGAGCTTCGTTTTGACACGAGCGCTTAAGTATATATATTTTTTATTTTAATGTAATTTTTTCCTTGCAGTAAAAACTCCTTGTATATACATATAAGAATAATACTATGATACATACTCTAATTTCAATTCTTATGTACTAATTGATATAATTATTATTATTTTATATCAGTAGATATTTAAAATATTATCACATTTATTGATTAGAGATTACATCTATTAATAAAAAATAATAACTCACATACCACATTAATTAATATATAAAAATTAATATTTAAATTAGTGTTTCTAGTATTATTCATACATATCGAGAAATATATATATGCCTGTATGAGTCATACATATAATTTAGATTGTGGACCCCCTTTCTTTAAAATGGGGTGAATATTTCTTGCATCTAACATATTACAATAATAACTTGATATTAATTAGTACGAAAATTTGGTGTTCCTAACACCACCACATATGGTCAACCTTATTGATAGACTTTTCAAAAATATTGTAGATAATAAATTAGAAATAATTACATGACTCTTAAAACTTCTTGTTTAAGATATTTCTCCAATTTAAAAATTTTGTCATGATCTGTCCATATTATGATTTTGAGATCATATCATTCTAGATGTCTCATTTTCAATATGAGTGGTTATGAATTGTTTCTAATTGAGGGTGGTTCACAAAAAATAAGGATGCCATTACAGGTTAATTTTATGGACTTATGTCTAAACATCACAAGTAGTGGATATATATATATTTTCCCTCCCTCGCCAATACAACATTTGTGGTTTGTAAAATCTCCCTCCCCAAAAAACCCCCACCCCACCCCAAATCTTAGGCAACATCCGTCCTTAATATGCTCACCTTATTATAATAAATTCTTATATAAACTATTCCTCCATTGATATGAAAGTCAAAAACAAATATTTCGTTGATAGACTTATCAATAGATCACTACTTACAGAGTTTTTTTACCCGCCTGTTGCTTCATCTAATTATCGAATGTAATAATCTGGTTTTCAAAAAGATATATATAATGATAATAACAAACTAGTATTTATCTACAAACAAACATTTTTCAAGTTTAATTAACGATTGATATCATTAATCCATAATAGCCTAACTTGCCGACCAACAAAGAGCGTCGCTTCTCCTCTCTAGTAGTGTTATAAGTCTCTTAATCTCGATCAATTAGAACTCTCCGTCAATTATAGAGGTGTTAGTGAAAGAGCCATTTATATGTTCGAAATTCGGTGTGCCTTTTCAGTTTCCGATTGTCAGAATTTAGTACACATACCTTGAGCATTTAATTTTAAAGTATACTGGTGAATATGATCTTTTGTTAGGATCGAGTCTCCTTCTATTTCAGGGAGATTCATGTCAACATTAGCGTAAAGAATTTATGTTTTGAGTTGAAATGAAATTTGCCTTTCAAAATGAAAAAATAATCCATAATATTTAATTAAAATACTTGAAGGGCTTTGCATAGATATTCATATATTTACCCTGTTTAATACACCAAAACACCATCAGAAACCAAACGTACATAAATGTGGTCACACATATAGTAAAAAACAACCCCAGAAGTTGATTTCTGATTCATTTTTAGTCCTTTGCCATTTCATGATTTTTCCTATTTTACACTGCATATGACAAAACACTAATCCTAAATTCCTAATTCAGAAGGCTTAGAGTGCTCATGGACTTGACGGCGGCAACTTTCGGGGCCGGAATTGAACTGCTTTGGCGGGAGGGAAGTGAGTGGACGTACTTGCAGTTTGGGCAAGAAGGAGAGGATTTGGAGAGTATGACAAGGAGATGGCAATTCAGACAAGCCAAGGCGACCATGTTACTGTTAGTATTCCCTGCCGCAGAGCAGCTTTGCTTCTTCACCTGATCGGAGCCTCGGTGATTGTCGGAGAAAGTCGAGATGTTGAGCTCTAGGTCTAGTGCCGCCGTCTGCTCCATCGGAAGTGGCCAGTTCCAGCTCTTCCTCAGTGTTTTTCTGTTCAAGTAGTACATTTCTCCTGACTGCAAAAATAATACCAAAATTCCCGATTAAAAAATGTACACATCAGTCTGAGCTGAACGAGGCACGGTCTGCTCTGATATCATGTTAAATTAACAATAAAAAAATGATCTTTATCTTAAAATGGTCTAATTAGCTTTTTGTATCAGATGACACAATATTAAAAACGATAAATTAAAGAATGTAAACCTAGCTATTTAGTAATATTTGTATATATCAAAAATAAATCACACCAAATTGAACGAGGGAAGATATACATATATATATACATATATATATATATATATATATGGAGTGAGAGAGAGAGATAGAGAGATTTACTTCAAGATCAAGGCATTGCTCCCAATCCAACGGCAGAGGATCTTTGAGCTGAAGATCAACGCTTGCTTGAAGTGCCGGTTCATGAGTCTTCATAAGGAGGTGATCCTGAAAGAGCTTCCTCTTCCTAGAAGCGTTGGTGTCTGAATATTCCAATGGAAGCCCATTTCTGCTCTTGTTCACATTAACAGCATGAGTAGGAGCCAAAGACAACTCTGGAAATTCCATTTATATATAGAAATATATTTGTGTTTGTGTGTATATATATATATATATATATATATATATATATATAACTATAGTAGCAGGACCCTATTGCAATTCCAAAGTCAAGACTAGCTCTACTCTTGCAATATTACTATCACATAGACTGCTTTTCTAAGGAAAGAAAACCAAAGCAAAAGGAGAGAAAAAAATTGTTTGAGAAGGAAGGAATTTGAAAATTATTTTGGTGTGGCGCAAATTAACAAAGTCATGCAAAGGGGCTGGCCAAGTCTACTTTAAGAGCGTTCTTAAAAATTTGGGTTCATCAAACCGAATTTAAAGGAGCGCCTTTGGCCGGCCGAGGCGCATTTAAGGTGGCAAGTAGATATAACTCTAATGCCTCCCAAATCCCTACTCTCCTTTCTCAAACGCATTAAAGGCCAATCTACACATGACCAACCTCAATATCCAACCCCAATGTTATTATTATTAATGTTGTTGTTGTTGTTGTTGCTGCCCCTACTTAATTAAATTCTCCTAAATTCTTTACTGTTTAATTTTTTTTATTTAATTTTATTGTTTGGATCAATTGGATTTGGGCATAATTTAAGGCTTCTCTTAATCGAACCTATCAATCAATACTGTAAATAAATAAATAAATAAATAAATTTAATGTAAATTTTACGGTTTACAAAGAATCATTATTGCTTACTCAAAGAGTAATTTTTCATTCTTTACCCCAAATTTCCAAATGAAGTAATTATTATCTGTTTATAATGTACAATACATTATTGCCTATGATAAAAAAAAAAATTAATTCATTACAATGTGAAAATTTTGTTTGTTTTTTCCCCTAATTAAAGAATTAATTACCATGTAAATGGTACATAAGCAGGTCCTAGGCTAGCTTGTAGCGTACAATTTTATGATGCATGGGAGATTGGCTTAAAACTTGGCAAGAGCTATAGTTAGTAGTTTTATAGCTAATTAATTTAGAAATTATCTTGCGAAAACTATTATAATGACCAGTTCATTACACTACTATAATACTTTAATTTATCAGCATGCATGCATGTTTTTTTTTTTTTTTTTTTTTGATAATTGAATCAGCATGCATGTTATCAAACAGTATATATGTACTTCTTTTTACTATTAATGTCCATTTTTGGAGTAATGACACGCATACACACGTACTTGCATGGTACTATGATGCACAAACTCAGAGTTAGAGGGGAGAGGAATTATATAATCTCTCTTCAATTTCCATGAGACGATCGATATATATTTGGTTCGCGTTATGGGCCAACGGAAGTTTAAGTTTGGTAAAAGGATTCGTATCCTAATTTGAATTATGGTTCATGATTTGTTAGAGTGTTTTTTCTCACAAAAAATACACATAAATTAAAAATGATTCTAATCTCATGATTTTAATTCATAAACCAAATGTCTAGTTTATGGTTTCAAGGTCAGTTTTCGAGTAGCTGCTCAACTTACTACAATTGATATATAAGTTTAATCATGTACGGAATTAGGTGATCGGGAAGAGGAAATTTGTACAAATTTGGTAATTCAACTTACTACAATTGATATATAAGTTTAATCGTGTACGGAATTCGGTGATCGGAAAGAGGAAATTTGTACAAATTTGGTAATTGCTTTTAACTAGTTGTATTTAAAACACATGATCATATTTAGAAAGTGCTCGCCTAACAACCAAACTGAATAGTATTATTGTTGTTGAATGCAGTACTTCTATATGAACATTCTTTTTTTTTTTTTTTAAGGGGTTATATGCATATTCATTTTCTTTAAATAAAGCTCTTTTCCATCAAAACAAAAAAAAAAAACAAAAACAAAAAAAGCTCTCAATACTTTAGAAAAAAGAAATCCTCTTAATTATGAACTAAGTAGCTAATAATGGCAGTGTAATTTATGTATGGTTGATGAAATGAGGAAGAAAAGAGGGGAAGGAGTATATATCAATAATATACATAGATAGAGAGAGAACGGAGAATGAGGTTAAATGAGTACTTCAACTTTTAATCCAATGGTTCACATAAATCAATTCTTTTTTTTTTTTAAACTTTAAATGCAATGGTAAAAATTTCTCCACGTGGCTTATGTATTTCTTTCACACCTCACACTTCAATATACACAATAAAAATGAGAATGGATAGGAATGACATTGTTACTTCAACCTCTTTTCCTTACCATTACTGCACATTTATTTTATTTGTTTCATGTCATTTTCTTTTTGTAATCTTTTTTTAGCGTTTTGAATTTTATTACTATTATTTGACTATTATTTAACTTATTATACTAATATAATTAATATGCTTTTAATATAACATGCAATATATATTTTATCTTTTATACTAATATTACTTTCTATATTATAAGTATTTGTTACAATATATATAAAATTGTGCATGTTAATATATTAAAAGTACATTTTTAATTATTTTTATTGGTTGCTAATTGCTATCACATTAATTAGACTTAAATATTCATTATTAAACTTAAGGGCTAAGGCCATGATTCGGTTTGACTAATAATATTATGTTGATATTAATATTAAGATTAGTATCAATTAGAGTCAACATTACTTTAATTACTCTCTATTTTTATATTAACATTTTTTCTTCTATGCCGTTTTTGCTTTCATTTTTATTTTCAAATCTTTTTTATCCGGATATTTAAAAGATTATGCCAATTACTATTGAATATAAATTATTCTCTCATTAAAATGTTAATATTTTAAGCATTTTTTTTTTATGATAATTGATATGAAAACACAATTTTTTATTTCTAAGAAAAAAGGCACGTCCCTCATGCTAGTTAATATTAATGAGCCTTTGTGCGCAGCTCTCAGTTTGTCATTTTCTCATAGGAGTTGCTCTTTTGATCTGTTTGTTGAATTCTTTGCCTTTGTGGGCTGATAATATTTTCTTGTATTTTTTTATTAATATTGTATTTGATAGAGGATGAATATGCTAAAGGGTGTCAATCTAATTGGGATCTTAATCCAACTTAATCGGATATGATTTATCTCTTCTGTTATTTACTTAAAAAAAAAGTAGAGTGATTTTACCGTCATGTAGCTAGCATGTGTTACAAATTAATATTGCTTACTGCATGCAATATTATTAGTTATCTAAAATTGTAAATAACAAATTATATATGATATTCAATATAATTATAATTATTAAAAGCTAATTGCGAGATATGATAGAATAGGGTATAACAATTTTTTATTTCTTTTCATAACACGATACTACATGTAATACAATACATGTATACACCTAAATCTATTATTGCTGGCAACGATATAAAATGGAGACAGTCAATCAATATATGATAGTAAAACACGATATATATAATAAGTTATACTATGATGTATCAAAACAAAATATAATACAAACTATTGCCTTGAAGAAATCATCAAGTTTAAGAGTACTAACGTATACCATAGAGAGCGAATCAGAGACACTGAGGCCTCATTCATTTCACCAATTCGAGTTTTCAGTTTTAGGTTTCTACAGTAAAAAGCTCTCAGAAAATGTCACATTTAACTTTTTTTGCTACAGTGAAAAGCTCTCAGAAAATGTCACATCTCAACTCGAATTGAAAATTTGAATCCACGAAGTGAATGAGGCCTAATAGGACGTTTGGTTCATGGATTCAGAATCATAATTCAGAACTATTCTCAGTTTACGTGTGTTTTTTGTGAGAAAAAACACTGTAGTGAACCACGAACCATTATCAGAACCATGACACGGATCCTTGCTCCAAATTTCTTTTCACTGACAATAATCTCCATTTAGTCTCCCAAATGAATGATACTAATCCCTTCTAGATCGACATATATTAAAAGAAAAAAGCGCGAAACATACAATCTCCCAACTGAAGAACAATATTATATCTTTGTACTTTTTATTAACATGGGTACATGCATAACAAAAGGTTCAAATTTGAAAGCAGAAGTTATAACATCATCCTCTCTCTGTTTTTTATTTTATTTTTTTTATTACCTAAAGAAAAGTAAAAACATAAATACCAAACGGCGAAAGTTGCCCCTAATATTTCTTGAAAATTTTTAATGAGTGTTATAACACCATGCGCATATTGCTTATTATTAGAATCCATTCACTTCGTTGATTCGAGTTTAGAATTCGAGTTTTTCTATAGTAAAAAGCTCTCACAAACAATCACATCTAACTTTTTTGCTACAGTAAAAAGCTCTCACATAAAATCACATCTCAACTCGAATTCTAAACTCGAATCAGCAAAGTGAACAGGGCCTTAGTATATACAAAAATTTAAAAGTGGCTATCATGTACATGCCTCGTCTATTTATCATTCAATAGGCCTGACGCACCATTCAAGTTATAAAACCAATAAGCGTTTTATTTCTACACACATTTTATATTTAATTGTAAAACCAACAATGACTTTGAAAACGGCTAATTAATTGACGGTGGTACGTGTTATAAACATTTGGATTGTACTACTACTTTTAGATTTGCTTGCCACATAAGTGAACAACATTTATGATCAGTTTACATTAATTATGATATTGGAAAGATCTTTTCAAAAAAAAAAAAAGAAAAAAGAAAAAGAAAACCTCTTATATGTATAATTAAATGCCACAAGACTAATAATTAAGTCACACAAACTACCGTGAAAATCGATCATTGAGAATTCACATCCAACGCATCTATGAACGTAATAAATGGCAATTGTAGTCTTGGCCATTACAGCTTAGGCGTTGGAGTTAGGTGGAGAAGGCATTACGTATTTTTAAGAGATTTATATAAATTTGTTGTTTGTAAGAATATGGGGGAAAAATTATAAGGCCTCCAAAGACAAGGCCATTGAGCTTCTTGTTTTTTTCTTTTCTTTTTTTTTTAATTTTAATTTTTTTTTGCTATATATTTTGAATACTTGAAGATAGGGAAGAGGAATTAAGAAGGGAGTGGTGTAGAGCAGTAAAGAAACATTTAAAATTTCATTAAATGGAGTACATGCCACAACACCAACCCAAGTTATATAGAGGAGTGAGGAGATTCCAATTTATTATTGTTTGTTGGCACTGGTAATGACCTTAATTAAAATGCCCACATTTATTCTCTCTACCACATTCAAATATTTATATGTGTGTGTGTGTCTATATATATATTATAAGTGCATTTGGCAATGTGGGTGTTAATTGATGAAGAGTAGGATGATATAGTACTTTCTGGGGTTTCTTGAACTAACGTCTGCATGCCCTACTTATTGCGAGACGAGTGAATTGCCTGTTCGAATTTACTAGTGATCTCTCTGTTCGAATTTAC